ATAGATGGGTGGGCGGGTGGGTGGGGAGTTGGTTACATTCATCGCTTGGTGCTTACTGGAACGTGTAACACACATTGTCGTTCATCCCATTCTAGCTATCTGCGCACTGAGGCTGAAGATCAACTAACTACCAATTTTAATTGTTTTGGAATTTCTGTCAACAGGAGAAAGAGATAAGCTGGTGATAAAATCTGGGACGATTTTTGCACAAAATGAGAAATTCATCAAACAAAAAGAAAAACAATTCGGTGAGTACTTGATAACTTGATCTGTTTTAGTTGAACACAGACCCTGACTGATATGAAGGGAGAATCATCAAGTGGATTGGGCGCTACCCGGGTCCCAACCGATTTGTTATAGACCAGTCAGATGACAAGTGCAATTACCACATGATTTTTCCGACCGGGTGAGTGGGACGCCGTTGTCATTTTCGTTCTTCAAAATAGACATCTATTAAGCTTATGACAGACTGAACCCCATGTCTACTGGAAACAATATTTGTGCCTGAGTTGAAGATGCTTTCGCATTCCGTGCTCAACCTTAAGGTTGCACGAGTCGATCTGTGCGAAGTAAATTTCATTTTCAGTTCGTACATGAAGCTGCATTAACAAGTGGTCGTCAGTTGTCAATTACTGTCATATTCATAATTTTTCAAATTGTTATCACGTAGATTTGAAGTTTGTATGTCGATTGTGAAAAGTTCAGCAGCCTCGGTGGGATTCGAACTCATCAGGCATGGACGCCGCCTACGCTTTGTGGGCGCATGCTCTACCAGCTGAGCTACGAGGCCACACCGATAGAACTGATCTTTTCACATTTTGAATTTACCCATCCAACTTACAGAGGCATGTGGCATCCACCAATTAGCATGTAAGCTGACTGTCTCGACAGGTTTTCCTTCGAATTCACCGGAGTTATAATTATTTACTAGCATTGATTTATCACAGAAAGTGTGGATTATCCTTATATTTTTAGGATCACATCCAATTTATTCACATCACTAAGTGTTCAGTGCCTCATCCTCAACAAGACCACGTATCAAACGACGACACCGGTGTCTCGATAAGCTTCAGCGAATCGCACACCCTCCGATCTCATCAATCAGTCAATTAATGATAACGACAAAATTCCTGTCGAGACCACATATGGTGCTCAAACTAATCCAACCGAAGGCATCGGTCTGAAGTGAGGGGACATCCCCCCTCCCCTTCGGTTCTATTTGGTAAGTCCTGAATGGTGCTCAGGATACATTACCCTTCCCGGTCAATGTTATCTGCACATAAGCATGTTTTGCGTTTTTCAGCCGAAGTGATTAATTCAAACTGCTGACCTCTTTGGTCTCGATTAGAGATATATCAAGGCTTTCTGATCGCTTACTTGAGTAAGCTACTCGCTCGTAATCCATCGCAATTATCGTAGTGCAAAGTTTCACATTAAATCCTACTTGTCGTAGTCTTCATAAATGCGCTTTTACCACACGTTTACTCTGATTGTGAATGCTCACTTTATAAAGGGGCTAGATCACAACTCACCGGGATATCGGCCAGATCCAAATTCATCGGACGAGCCAGTTGCAAAGCATCCGCGAACGTTCGCACTGAGGTACCACGCGGCAAATCCAGACGGGACCAGCTTCCGTTCGGGTTGGCATAGACAAATGAATCTGTCGGAGTGATTAATAATGTAATACAAATGACAGGATCACACGCGTTACTGTGCAATTCATCGGTTAAAACTGTTTGTGGACAGTTTCGCACAAAGAAAAGTGTCGTTTTCGGTCTTTATACTGAATATCGGAAGTTATATAGCTAGCAAAGGATAAGTTGTACAAAATATTTCTTAATTTTGTTAATAGTAACATTATTAGGGCCAGCAGAATTTGTTTAACTATAGCAGTTTTTCCGTTGTGCATCTACGGATCCACGTAGAAGCATGAATTCATCATACCCGCCTTGTTCCGCGTGAAAGACATCAAAATATCGTTTCGGTTCGAATCTTCCATTCTCCAGCAAATGCATTCGTGATGACTACGGAAACCATCGCACTATTTTGGCAACTCGGTCTTTCGTCTCACAGTTTTCTCAGTATGACTGAACGTTTAACGGCAATGCATCATGTTGTGGACCACAATTGACCGATACGTTTGTCATGCAGGCCTGTGACCGGATTGATTGACTGGCAGATGCTACCTGCTACCACACACGCACGTACATTCAGCCTTAGCAAATAACTAGGCTGGTACGCTATCCAACGTAGCATTTCCCACTGTCTCATCCGGAGACTGATAAAATGGAACGCACGAACAACGTTTGAATTCCTTGAATGAAAATCTTCTCCGGAGTAACGGGCGAACTGTCATCTTTCCTCCAGTTTACGAATTAATTTAGCTACCGATTTTTCGGGTTATAACTGTATTTTTCTTTCCAGATCCCCTCGACCCACCACAGCGTGTTCTTCGTATCACGTGGTTACATAAGCAAAGTATTACTGATTTTGCTACTGTGTGAAATACGGAGAACCTCTCCTCCATCACGTTCAAACAGTCGACTGGCAACGAATTTCGGTATGCGATCAGGTGAACGGCAGGTTCAGACACATGAGTTATGATCATAAGGCGAGCACGATTGTGTATGGACTCTCAAATACGTATGCAGTTGCTGTTGTTATATTACTAATCTGTGTAAAAAAAATGCGCATTCTGCAGTTGAACTGAAGCATAAATTAAATGACAGGCGGTTGGTGATAATGCTAAACAGTTTCAATTTTTTTTAATTTACAGTCAACAAATGTGATTCAAATGAGTGATCTCTGGTTGGATTTATTGAGGTTGGGAGTTATATTATTATGATTATTATCATTATTATCACTGTGTTCCTTTGTAAGCTTTTTTTTTCAGTGCGATACTCATGCGGTCAATCATAGGGAAGAGCGTCCGACTCAATCGAATACCAAATCAGCCAAGGAGCAATGCGGAATGCAAATAATACGAACACTGACAAAGCCCAAATAGAGAGACTGCTTTGGGGTAGTTATTACAACTGTCGTTTGGCACACTTACATGCAAGAAAAACACATCTTCTCAGCATAATCAACCGGTATGTGTGGTAAATGACTTAATGGACGTATGAATGCATTGTAGTTCAAAGTACTCACAACACGTCACGTCACGTCTGAGTCAATGAATCACGTCAATCATACTTTTCATTTCATTTCATCACTTTTGTTACTGCTCTCGTTGTTGTACCGATCGCATCAAAGGAAAAGAAAACACCTAACTGTCTATGTGCTTGTGGGTAAAAAGTCATGCACAATTTCTGACAGCTTTGCATCAATTCGCAAATGACACATAAGTGCACGATAGATCTAAACAAATTCGTGCTTAGTCGGTGCCAATGGCCAGCTCAGTGATGAGGGAAATAGGTATCACCATACTGATTGGTTCTAGCGGATATCTGTTGTCGGATGAATCAAGGTACACAATTGTGAATGAACCAGTCCCTATCCCCTTATCTGTTTCTTCTTATCCGGATACAAAAGGAGGGAGTGTGTGACTTAAAACCTTCCCTCTGTTTAGATCAATATGGAGTAATCGAGAACAGGAAATACTATTGGGTCAATGGGGAACGAGAGGAAACCAGAGGTCGAAGCTGTGCGCTCAATCGAGTCTCGAGCGAATGACNGACCTGAAATGCGGTTTGCTATGTGTGATTTCGATAGATGTCGACATTTGCCGAAGAGTTCCAGGCGACATTTCAAGGTAACAATCTATTATCGAGTGTAGAGTGATTAGACAAACGAATGTGGATTGTGTGCTGAATTGCCGGTACCCGGAAGTTATTGTACATGTGTATGCAATTAATGGAATAGCATTCATGTTTTTTTAATCGGTATACGGTATATCCGAGATCAGTGATTTACGGAAGAATTTTAAATATTTTTCTATAGCTAAATTAAACGCAACAGAACTCCTTGT